TGCGTATGGATAACCTACCGAAAGGCCGGTCCATGGCATTGGCATTTCACCAGGACTAGGCAATGTGAACGCGAGGAGAAGATGGTTAACTAATGCCATGTAATACTTGCATTGCCTTCCCTTGTTTCTACTTGTGGAGGGGTCTTTTACCTCCCCACTCTTAACCCTCAAGGTCTCCTGCACTTGGCATCCGCTCAATGTCACTAACTCAAAAGTTAGAACAGGTAGGATAGGCCATCCACACCGCCAATGTAACCCACCATCATTCACAGGCTTCGCTCTTCTAACTACTGACTTCGTGTGATATTGCACTGCACTGCCGTAGTCAGACAGCCACCACCACCACCTGTATTCTCTGCATTGCCACAGCCACGATATGCATCCGGACCGGGCCGTGCTGGACATGTGGTCAACCTGTGGATACTGGGTTCAGTATACTTTGGTAGCTCTTTCAGGTTGATAAATTTCCGTCGTTGCGATGGCTGATTAATGACTTGGACTTATGCACATAACAGAGAATATCTAGGCAATACAGGGAGCCAATGTACCTCTTTTCTTAACTCCAAGGTTCCTAATTGAAAGAATCTACTACAATCATATTACCAGAGCAAACAGTAGGACCACCAGGAACGACAAGAGCGATCACGGCCTGATATCAGCTCTACCGGCAAGGTAGCCCCGAAAATCGGAGATGAAATTGTTTGTCTATCTACATCAGGGACAGAGAAAGTTAGCAAGATACCGGGTCTTGAGACCTATGGGTTCCTAGTGTATAAGCAATGAGCTATCCCGTATACTGTAGTTGCGTAGGCTCCATCAACTAGCCAAAATCTGTTCATACGCTGAGTCGCTGACTTCCATCCTGAACGCAAACCGCGCGTATGAACGATTTTAAGTTACTGTACGTGTAGCACGTAATATGCTGGATGCCACCTCCCATTGAACACTAGAGGAATTGTACATCAGGTTTTCTATAGGTGATTTGGGCTGCTAAAAAGAAGTTGTTCTCGAGTCGAGCATAGAAGGAACATGTATGAGAATCACTATAGGAATAGAACTACGTCCAGAACCGCTCCGGCTCTAGTGATTCAAGTAAGAATCGAATCAAGTATGAGTATAAGCTGCTCATGATTTAGCCACTCTCGGGAATTATGAGAGAGATTACGAATAGAAAATTTCCCATAACCTCTGAGGCGACAGGAGACTCGTCACGCGTGACTTGTGCCCAACCACATAATACCTTTAACTCGGATATTATAGCTGCTCTACCCTATTTCTTGAGAAGGAAAAGGAAAAGGAAAACGGATTCCTTTTTTACCTTCCTGTCTTAGGGCTGTGGAGTTGAAATGGAAGCTGCTTTTCTGGTTAAATACGATTCCGGGTCCCCAGTAAATAAAAATTCGAGGGACGACGGTTGCTCCGAGTGGGAAGGGAACATTTCGATGGTCTCTCAGGATGCAAGGGAGAGAAAAGCTTGACACTCCAATAAGCACCTTTTCTCTCCTTAGGCCTAGGTTTATCGGGCATCAGAGACACCGTCTGTAGAGCTTGATTCGCATACCAGCGTACTATATACACACCTGAATGGTCCTTTGACTAGGTATCCTGGACATCACAGCTTCGAGTGGTGCCGGTTAAAGTGGAAGACGTGACTTTGTACCGCCTAAAGAAGAATAGAAACGCCTCCGCTAGAGCAAAATCGCCTTCTAAAGTAGGGCTAGCTGTGAATTGGCTTCGATCGCAAATCAATTCACGATATCCCACTACCTTTAAGCATATCTCGTTCAAGCCAAGAATCAATGTAGATGAAGGTCGTATGGGCACTTAGTCTTATCGATCGTTACATTTCGCGTGAGAGGTACATACAACCGGGTATATTAGGTCGCGAACTCTGTCGATAGGAGAATGCCGCTAGGCGACTGGAAATGAGAGTGTGTGCAAAGGGAGCGAGGCTAACCATAACTGCTATATCATGCTCTGCCCATAATCTAGACCTTCGAAATAGCCCACTGTAGATGCTTATTAGACAGGGGACGGCGAATTCACGGACCAAAGCAATTTGTGGCTGCTTCTTCCTGCCTAAAATGAGCCGTGTGATTGGAAGCTGTGGCGTCTTGGCTCCATCTAGCTGCATGACTATCAGCAAATAGTCACCTTGTCTTGGCTGCAGAATTGCTTCCGGAAATTTAACCTGGTGATTACTCTCAGCATTGGTTGATGCTCCGCACCTTTAATTCTGGTTCACATCAGTCGGGTGATGTTTGGAAGCACGAACGAGCCGAACCCTTCCGCCGCTACCATACGCCGGTTATTATAAAAGGACTCGCGGTTCATCGTCCCTGTTGGAAGGATCATCTTCGCATCAACGAACGAAGTCGAAGCAAAGATGGTGTCTTTCTCTTCTTGTCTCCGAGCCTTGACCCTCGGGTCCTCAGTTCTCGCGCTCCAGCCTGTCCTTAGACAGGACACCGGTCTCGATACCTGGCTGAACACTGAAGCGAATTTTTCTCGCCAGGCAATCCTGAATAATATTGGCGCAGATGGCCAGTCGGTGCAGGGCGCAAGCGCAGGTGTGGTGATTGCAAGCCCGAGCAAAAGCGACCCGGATTGTATGTGACTTGGCCTTGCTGCAATACTTCATTTGACTTACTGGCCGTAGATTTCTATACCTGGACCCGGGACTCAGGTCTCGTCATGAAAACCCTTGTCGATCTGTTCAGAGGCGGAGATGCCAATCTTCTACCTATCATCGAGGAGTTCATTAGCTCCCAGGCTCGCATCCAAGGCGTTTCAAACCCCTCTGGTGCTCTGTCTAGCGGGGGGTTGGGAGAGCCCAAGTTCAATGCCGATGAGACGGCATTCACAGGCGCATGGGGTCGGCCGCAGCGGGATGGACCAGCTTTGCGAGCGACCGCTATGATCTCATTTGGAGAATGGCTAATTGTAAGTTCTATACCTCTTCGCAATGGGTTTAGCTTACCTTACTTTGTAGGAAAATGGGTATACAAGCATCGCAACGGACCTGGTTTGGCCTGTTGTTAGGAATGATCTATCCTACGTGGCCCAATATTGGAGCCAGTCTGGGTTCGGTGAGCTTTCAAACAGATGGCCCGCAGCTATCAGTAGCTAACGTTCACAGACCTCTGGGAGGAAGTCCAAGGAACATCATTCTTTACTGTCGCAGTTTCTCATCGCGCCTTGGTTGAAGGCAGCAGCTTTGCAAAGAGTGTCGGTTCCTCGTGCTCCTACTGTGACTCACAAGCACCCCAAGTCCGATGTTATTTGCAATCTTTCTGGACTGGGAGTTACATTCAAGCTAATTTTGGTGGCGGGCGATCGGGCAAAGACATCAATACTGTCCTAGGCAGTATCCACACGTTCGATCCCCAGGCGACGTGTGACGATGCTACCTTCCAGCCTTGTTCGGCGAGAGCCTTAGCCAACCATAAGTCGGTAACGGACTCCTTTCGCTCGATCTATGCCATCAACGCTGGTCGCGCTGAGAACCAAGCTGTTGCTGTTGGTCGCTATCCTGAAGACAGCTATTACAACGGGAATCCCTGGTTCCTGACTACCTTGGCCGCTGCAGAGCAGTTGTATGACGCGCTGTACCAGTGGGATCATATTGGATCGTTAGCCATCACAGACGTTTCTCTGCCATTCTTCAAAGCCCTGTACAGTTCTGCCGCGACAGGGACCTACGCATCGTCCACGACGGTGTACAAAGATATTGTCAACGCTGTCAAGACCTATGCAGACGGATATGTGCAGATTGTCGTACGTCGAGACCCCTCCCTCTGGTTATTCTTTTAGTATTGCGGAAGCTGATGATCACAGCAAACCTACGCTGGCTCTACCGGCTCAATGGCTGAGCAATTTACCAAGACGGACGGAAGCCAGACCTCCGCCCGCGACCTTACCTGGTCATACGCTGCACTTCTTACGGCTCATAACCGAAGAAACGCGGTCGTCCCTGCACCGTGGGGCGAGACCGCTGCCACCAGCATTCCGTCGGCGTGCTCCACGACTTCCGCCTCAGGCACCTACAGCAGCGTGGTGATCACCTCCTGGCCGACCATTAGCGGATACCCAGGCGCGCCAGACACTCCTTGCCAGCAGCCGACGACTGTGTCGGTGACCTTTGATGTGACAGCTACTACTGTCTACGGTGAGTCGATCAAGATTGTGGGGTCGACCTCTCAGCTTGGGAGCTGGAATCCCAGTAGCGCGATCGCATTGAACGCGGATCGATACACTACAGATAATCCCTTGTGGACGGGGACAGTGAACTTACCCGCTGGGCAGTCGTTCGAGTATAAGTTTATTCGCGTTCAGAATGGCGCCGTTACGTGGGAGAGTGACCCTAACCGAGAATACACTGTTCCTTCGTCTTGTGGCGTGAAAAGTGCTGTTCAGAGCGATGTTTGGCGGTGATTATCATCTCGGGGTGACGACGAGGAATCGCTACATGGCATGTGTAATGTGACGCTATACTATAATATCTAGTGCTATATCTGTTTTATGATATAGAAGCTCGAAGCTAGTGGAAGCAAGAGAACAATGGAGACAAGATATGGTTAGTGTCCGATGGAATCTTATGATATAGATCTTAAGAAACAGTACCTACAGAGATGTGTCAGATTACCCTTGGACCCTCCCCGAACGACTTTACTCGATGTTCTTTCAGGAGAATCTCATGAATCTTTAGGTTTATAATAATGACTTAAGACTATATAAAAGGCCCTGGTCCGTGTTCCGAATCCTAGTCATTCCCTTCATCTTGCGCAGGCTTCGCTTCAAATAATGACAGCGTTGGTAAGACCATATAAGGCTCCCCTGTTTTTCTTATATCGCTTCTCAGTCTTTGTCTTTCTCTCCAACCACTGATGGTCATATACTTGTCAAGAGATCTTATGTATCAAGAAGTACTCGGGGTCATAGTGCTAAGCATGCAAGATCATCTGGTGACCCCATTGTAGTCTGCCGAGGCGGCGGTACACTCAATAACTGATCATTTCGAATAAATTGTGGTCCACAGTTTGTCCATCCGAAGAAGCTGATGTTAAGGCTGAATGGTGGCAAGGCCAAATATGGGAAAAGCCCTGCGAGTCATACTGAGTACCATCCCCCTCTAAGTTTTGTTCGGGTCGTGCTGCGAAGGAAGATGAAGACAGCTGCGGGTCTATTGGCTGAGGACTCGCAGAGTCGACTATGTGCTCCTCTGAGATTTTTCTAACCCTCTGCGCAAGATATCGCTTGATTGGCTCGTCATCGCATTGGGCGTGTTTCAGTACCTCGCCGTGGAGGTCCAGTATTGTATACCGCAGTTGTTCAATTTGCATCCGGAGCTCGCTATTCCGCCAGGCATGCGCATCGGCAAGGGACTCGATTTCTTCTACCACGAGCTTCTTTCGCTGACGGCATCGTTTGGCAGCTTGGCGGTTCCGCTGCAGAATCTTGTCTCGTCTTGCCTTCCAGTCTTTATTTATCTTGTCGTGATGTGTAAAGGTGTGTGAAGGCTCCTTTGCAGGTGGCTCTGGAACGGCCGTGTTTTGTGCACGTCCTTTGGGCTCGCCATCGATGGAGTGGGAGGTTGTCTGAATGGGCAAAGTCGCTTCCGTCAGAGGCATCGCATCTAAAACTGGCTGTGGACGAGCGAGGCTTGACTGGTCTGCACTGCACATGGCAAAGGAGGTGGCATGTCTATATTTAGGCCATGCGTCGTACGGACTGATGTTCTCCAAGCTCAGCTGCTGATGCTCATTTGTGAGGTGCTTGAAGCATGATGATAGCTGAGGGAAAGAAGGAGCCAGGTCCCATAGGAACTGTGGTGGTACCACGGTGATTGAAGTCATATTAATCAGTGGAGAAAACCAACACAACTAGTGTTACTTGAGGGAGATTGCTCAAATTCATGGGCATAATATATCCATCTCAGGGGCAAGTGAAGAAATACATGTGTAATGGGCGTAGCGTAGGTTTGTGTTAGTTTTGGGAGTTGCAGCTCATCGATATCAGCCGAGCTAGAGCAAATTTATGTCTTTTGCGCTTGAAGGCAGATATTCAGCCTAACCCATATCGTTACCACCCTTACTTATTCTGATGTCATTCTCGAGCGAATAGGAGATTACCGGCGATTGATTCTAACGCAATCATATTCAGTGCAGCTATGCCTGTGCCATTTTAGCTTTCATGCCCGTGATATTTGCTTCCGAGGTGCCTATTTAGTGAGGTTATTCGTGAGCTGATGGACAAGTTGAAAAGAGTTAACTCGTCGGGGTGCAGAAGCGCTTACCGGCTATTGATCCTGATTCGCGGCTTTTTCCATTCCAAAAGAAAAAGCCTGTCTTCAAGAGACGCATATCCTTCCATCCCTGATATAGTATCAGAACCATGGTCCATACAAGAATGTTGCTTATATCGCTGGGTCCACGCTGGGGATCACCTTGTTGTGGGCTGGAACCTAGCATTTAACGCAGTGACCTATTGCCTTTTATAGGGTTTTGCATGGGGCTCCACAGGACCTAGGGGGTTGATCCTCTGGGCCCAAGTGAAACCGGTCACTGATTGGACTTGTCGACTCTGCGTCTTTTTTCCAGAACTGTTGGTCAGAGAAAGAGTTCAAGAACGACCCCTGGGTGTTGCTTATTTAACCGTACATTTGCCAGCAAAGTGACATTATCAACAACTGAGGTAACTGTCGCCTGGAAGACCCTGGAAAGCGCCAAAGAAACAAAATAAAGTTTGATCCCTGACAAGTTGCCTATTGTCATTGTAGACCAGACTTTGACCCTCCGAGGTGACTTCGTTGTGATGTAAGCGGTTACGAACGCGTTGTCGTCCCAGGGTAAGCGACTTATGTCAGTCCCAAAGCTTCCCATGGATTGAAATGCGGGGCTAGAGGTCCTAGCTCCTCTTCTAGCTCCATTACAAGCTTTAGAATAGACCTTAGTCACCCTTCTCAGATCCGATGTTGGATCAATGCCCTGGCTCGGGCTAACGAGGCATTTCTTCCTCGGTCTGATCAACAGCCGGACATGGGAGCTGCTGCCCTATGTGGCGCCCTCAGATCCATCAGTGTAACCGTCCAAGGATAAACTAAAGTTATCTCCGTCAGCTATCATATGTCAGTAGGCCGGAGAGCTTTTGACGTTTGGTCTTGTTTATGTGAAAGCTCTATTGTAGGAAGTGGTTAAGGTCTACAGCACTGGTTCGTTGCTTCTCGTAGAAGAAAGGATATGACATTTCGGCAGGCGTAAGACATAACTGTGAACGTGAAGAATCACAACTTGTAACTCGACGATCTATATATACATTTACTGCAATTTCTTCTCACCCAGAAACTCCATATCCTCATCGATCCGACCCTTCTTTGCAAACTTGATATCATCGAGATAGTTATCTCTTGGCAGCCATGGTCCCCTGTCCGCCGCCTTGGGGAGGTCGCGCTCTGCCTTGGTCACGTAGGTAGAATTGAGGTTCAACAGACGGCGCGGTTGCATCTCTTTGGCAGTGGCGGGGCTTAACCGTGGCACAGCGGCCTTGACGCCTCGTTGCTCCAACTCTTGAAGAAGTCGGCAAATAAACTGCGCTGTTGCGTCGGCGCCCAAAGTCCAGGAGGCGTTGGTATAACCGATGACGAAGGCGGCATTGGGAACGTCTTGCAACATGATTCCGTGCCAGATATACTTCTCAGAAACGTACTGAGGAATTCCGTCCACGGTGACCGAGGCTCCGCCCGCAATCTGCAACTTCAGCCCGGTGGCTGTAATGATCAGATCCGCGTCCAACTTCTCTCCAGAGTTCAGGACGATCCCGGATGCCGTGACCTCGCGGATGGTGTCGGTCTTGACGTCGGCGCGACCGGTATGCAAGCTCTTAAAGAAGTCCCCATCAGGACAGACACAGAGACGTTGATCCCATGGGTTGTATCGTGGGCGGAAGTGTGGGTCGTGTGGAATGTGAGAGGGCAGCTGGCGGAGGACGGACAGACGGAGGATGAAGCGGGAGAGGGTCGGGAAGGCTTGACAGAACAGGAAGAAAAAGCGCGAGGTGAGCAGCCAGCTCAGACGCTGGATTTTGCGATCGAGAGCCGCGGGGAGAATATAGCTCCACCACGAACGTCGCCGGTTCGGGAGAGAAAGAATATAGGTCGGACTGCGCTGGAGCATGGTAACATGTTTGGCCTTCTGGGCAAGGTTGGGAAGCAGAGTCACCGCGGTGGCGCCGCTGCCGATGATGACAATTTTCTTGTCGCTATAGTCCAGGTCCTCGGGCCAGAACTGTGGGTGGATGATCTGTCCCTGAAATTGATCGAGCCCAGGGATGTCGGCTTGCAAAGGCGTATGGTAGTCATAATATCCGGTGCCGAATATGATAAACCGGGCTGAGAATGACTTGGACTGTCCCTCATGTTCGACGCTTAGTGACCAGGTGCTTTCGGCCGAAGACCAATCAGCGCCTAACAGGCGATGTTCGAAGAGTATGTGCTTCTTCACGCCATGTTTCTCGGCCGCGTTGTTCATGTATTTGACGATGGAGGGTCCGTCGGCGATGGGGTTCCCCTGGTCCCATGGATGCCAGGAAAATCCAAAAGTGAAGAGATCCGAGTCCGAGCGAATCCCAGGATATTTGAAGAGATCCCAGGTGCCACCCAGGCTGTTCCGGGCTTCGAGGATAGCATAGCGAAGCTTAGGGTTTTGAGACTGCAGGCGATAAGCGGCGTTGATGCCGGAGATACCGGCACCGATGATGATAACATCAAAAGATGGCTCCATATCCACAGAGTTCTTCAAGGTGGCAGCTATATCCATAGGAACTCCATGGTCCAATTTATATGGTCTGGAGATCCGGTGGGATATATCTGCCAAACGGTTCACATGCCTCGGTTGTTCATTTCCAAAACGAGAAGTTGTCGCGAGCTTCAGAAATGAGGAGAGACGACCGCGGGGATTTATATTATAAAAGCTTTCGGCAATAACTTTGAGGATCGTCCGAACCGACAGTCTGGGGAAAAGGCCGAGGATCTGAATTTGACCCTAATGTCTGCTGGGCCGAAGATCGTCTGTGGGGTCTATCCTTACCGAATCCAGTAATCTTTGCGATCCCTCACATGAAGACATGAGGCGCCATTCTTCCCTTCCAGAGGGGCTCTTGCCTCGTATTTTCGCAATAAATATAGAGAGAGGGTCTTGTGCTGCAAGGTACCTGGATCATACGATAGTATGACAGGCTACCAGCATCAGCAATCTAGCCAACATGCTCAACACCGCAATTCCCCTTTCCTTCGCGGAGAAACTTGACTTTGTTCCCGCTCTGGTGTCACTTGGCCTCACGGTCGTGTGGGCAATGTTCACGGGGCTATGGCGTTCATCATGTTATCCCAAGAGTTGGCTCCTGCATGTCGGATATGCAGCGTTCCGGAAAGCAACCAGCCGACTGTCCGTTGCGCAAATGCAGTAAGCAGTTTCCATTTGATGTCTCTTGCGTGTGACGATCGCTAACCGCACAGATATGTAATGCCCCCCACAAATAAGATCTATGACCAGTACGTGCGCAAGGCCAGAAAAGTCGCAGACACGGTAGACTTGGGGCAAGGTGCCCTGGGCCACTGGGTCGGAGACCGCAATGCTGAGAATGTCTTGATTTGGTATCACGGTATGTTATGCTACGGGACATGCATCATGCTGTACGATTATACATGCTAACGGCCACAGGCGGTGGATTTGCGCTCCCAGCGAACCTGGGCTATTTCCGGTTCTTCGCTCGTCTGATCGCAGACAGTGCCCGCGCCAATAAATCCTTGGCGGTTTTCAGTCTGACATACACATTGGCGCCCCAGGCAACATATCCCACACAGATTCGGCAGGCCGTAGAAGCCCTGCGGTATGTGGTTGACCAGGCCAAATTTGCACCCGGCCACATCCTCTTGGGGGGAGATTCGGCAGGAGGGAACCTTGTCGGCGCCGTCTTGTCCCACTTGGCTCATCCCCACCCTGCTATCGCCCCGGTGGACCTCTCCGAACACCTCCGGGGCGCAATCATGATCGCTCCCTGGACCTCCATGGAGACCGACTTTTCCGAACAAGAGATCGATTCTCGGGGGGATTTGATCACACCGGCAGTAGCAGGACCATGGGCCAGCGCCTACCTGGGTTCCGCCAAGCGCGATAACTATACCGATTTATCTGCTGCGCCGGTAGACTGGTACTCCACGTTTCCGGTGCAGAAGATTTTAGTTTGCGCGGGAGGAAGCGAGATTCTTTTCCCGGTTATCCAAGAATTCGTGAAGAAATTGAAGGTAAGCTTGTTACCCTGCGTGAACACCGCGATGTCTTTAACTAACCTGAGCAGGAGGGCTTCCCAGACGTGGAGTTGTGTGTTGGCCACCGGGAGGGGCATGTTGCGCCGATCTATAACTTGTATATCGGGGATCAGACTGAGACGGAGCAGGGGAAGAGAGTCAAGAGCTGGTTGAGAGAGACTTTGTAGATACGGCTGGAACGTTTATGATTTCTTTCTATATATATATATATATATCTCTATCCATATATTGTCAGCTTCAAGAATGAACACCCTTATGAATCAGTCTATGCAGTATAGTTGGTTTCTGAACATATAACACACGCATTATATACTACAATATGTCTTAGCTACGAAAATACCACTTGGTTGACTAAAATGAATTATGCGACCCATGACTCAGAAATACATATGATCTTGAGGGATACTCAGTCTACAGTGGTTATGAGAATACTACACTCTCGATGCTGCAAATCCCAATACTTTTATATAGATAGTTGTATTGGTATATCTAACTTACTGAATATACAAAACATGAACACATTAAATTAATCCAACACCTGGGGTCATCACATGCCCTTCGCCTCCTGTATATCCCGCAAAACCCTCAGATCATTTGACCCTTTTCCACGAGCAAACTCCTGGAACCAGGAAGGGAATGCCCTGATCAGGCTAATCCCACTAAAGTGATTCGGTATGATAACCTGTCCACTGCTCTGGGTGAGAATCTGTTTCACAACAGCAGCAGATATCATTTCCGGCGTGAGAACGGGCCCCCTGAACTGGTGACCCACATCGGTCAAGATCTGAATCATTGGGGTTTTAACCCAGTGGGGGTGAATGACACTGTACGTATTAGCACCTTTCCCGGGACTCCAAATGTGTTCAGAAAAGGGAAAGAAAGAAAAGAAACATAGCAGAGAGCATACCTAGTCCGAACTTTAGGAGCCTTATACCAGAGTCGTAATTCCTGGCCCAATCCCTCGTGGAATGCCAACGCACTCGCCTTTGAACAACAGTAATCGACCATCTCACCCAACGCCACAAAACTGGCCATGCTAGCAATTGTAATAACATGTCCATGATTTTGCTTGATCATGCTGGGCAAGAACTCGCGCACCATCATGAAATGCGACACTGTGTTGACCTCGAAGGTCTGTCTAATCTTGGCCTCCGGCTCATCGAGGATGGTTCCGTCGTGTCCGACGCCCGCATTATTGACCAGGACGGTGGGATCACCGTGCGCTGCACGGATCTTCTCCGCTACATTGCGAATGTTCTCTGACGAGGTGATATCCGCTTTGTAGAAAGTGACGTTGGATGCTACCGTGCATTAGCTTGAATACTCTCGGTTGCCCCTTAGAGCAGTCAGAGCAGTCAGGGACGTACGCAGTTGGAAGGAAGGCTCTTGGATATCTAGTATCACTACTCGAACCCCGGCCTTTGCGAGATCTTCCATAATTTGCTTGCCGATGCCACTGCATCCGCCAGTGACCAAAACCAGCTCGCGCTCATTTTGCCAGGGTTTGGCGCGTTGCCAGTTATTCGCGGTCCAATAACTCAGCGAGCGGTTGGCCTTGCGTATAACGCCCAAAGCCAGGAGTGCTGCCAACGCCTTAGGTACTAATGGATGAAGGAGAATCTCTTGTGTCTGAGGGGGAAGGTGCTCGAGGGCCGTCTGGCCCCAGTGGCGAAGCAGTTGGACAGATTGATCGAGAGACATGGTTACAGAACAAGCTATATGGATATTGACAAGAACTGGCGCTTGGAAGTAGTAAACTGGATCGTTATTCTATGTATATGTGTATATATATAAGTGTTATACAGGATATGAGTATACAGGAGCCAAGGGCCAATGACCGAGGTACTCACATGGTGCAAGAAGCTTCTTCCTGGGCTTTTTTTAGGGGACGACGATTGTTGCCCCATGTGGCAAGCGTTGCGAACGCCGATCCGCCCAAGTGGGGAACAGAAATGACTGAAGAATCCCTGAGTCGCTCGCAAAGCGGCACCCAACCATGTTCGCGAAGATTACCCTCCCTGACTACCATGTCAAAGTCAAATTGTCCCCTGCACATCATTGTTGGGGTTCACATGGAGCGGGGGCTTCGTGGTGCTTGGGCGATCATGAGATGGGGGGATGCTCGGTAATGCCTTATGCATCCGGCATTACCTGGGGTCTGCATGTAGCAGCTTGATTCTAGAATGCAGTCTATATCGCTGATTATGTCTCTCTAAGGCTGAAGTACAACTGTTGATTGCGTCTGTCAAATTGTGTAGCGACCCCGAGGGTCACGACAAACGCAGCAGAGTCACAGAATTAGGGCTATATAGGTCCTACATTCGAAAGTTTCAGACATGACTTGAGACCCTCAACCAAAAAAAATATTGCTTTGTCTTATCCACCAGGCATCCATTTCGGCCCATGGCCAATACTGTACTCCATATATTCAAGAGTCATTCTTACGGTGCCAAATATTAGGCACCGGCGTTATCATGCGACCCTCCAACCGAGGTCAACCTGTCGATCCGTGGGGTCATTCAATTTAGAAACGTTAGCTATCATCATTAAGTGGACACACGATATATTCTTTCCCCTTACCCCAGATTATCGGGCTCCTGAGCTTGCTATCTTTCCCATCGTCGGTTAAGGGATTTGCCATCCACCATGGACTTGATGCTGATCCTGATTACCCTTTCTCTCCTCGAAGGTTTCCTGCTGCAGCGCGCAGACTTCGTGGATCTCACCTTCCGTACTGCTACGTTGGGCTCATTGGGGGTCAATCTTGTGCTCGTAATCATCTGGAACACCTTGATCTATCCTTATTTTGTCACTCCATTGCGCCATCTCCCAACAATCTCGGTAGCTCACGTCACTCATCATCATGTCTTGGGACAAGTAACTAATGGAAATAGGGCAATCTCAATAATGCCCGTATTGTTTTCGACGATCCCCGCGGCCGGTTACCACTGGAGTGGATGAAGACTGTTCCTAACGATGGCCTGATCCACTTCCGCGATATTCTCAATCGTAGCTATCTTCTGGCTACCAATCACCAGGCCTTACTCGACATCATGAGCACCAACACGTACGACTTTGAAAAGCCCTGGCGGGCACGCAGCTTCCTCGCCCGTATTATAGGTTTTGGACTCATTTTGTCGGAGGGCAGTGCGCACAAAAAGCAGCGCCGCGCTCTAACCCCATCTTTCAATGTTAAGAATATTAGAGCGTTATACTCATTGATGTGGGAGAAAACCGGGCTCTTGATGGACGAGTTGGAGAAAGAGATCAAACAGAACCCGATGGATGGCACTAATGCGGAGAGTGGAGAAGGAAAGATTGAGATGAGTGTCTGGGCAAGGTATTCTTACGGCCAGATATTGTGATGAGTACATCTCACTGACACATATTAGCCGGCTCACCCTGGATATCATCGGGCCGGCCGCCATGGGTCGCGATTTCCGCTCTCTACACAACCCCGAGAATAAAGTGGCTGACAGTTTCTTGGCTATCCTGGAACCGACTAAGGAGAAGATGGCCTTCTTGGCCGTCAACTTTGCTCTGCCACAATGGTTTGCCCGTCGCATCCCCTGGCGCTTAAACAAAGTAGTCAATGATCAGACCGGGTTTCTGCGTGATCTGTGCAGAGACATTGTTCATGAGAAGCGGGCTTCCATCGCATCTACGAAGGCGACGGCCAAGGAACTGGAGGCCGATATTCTTGGTACCATGATGTTGGGCGGCGATTTCACAGATGACGAGTTGATCGACCAAATGCTGACCTTCTTGGCTGCTGGGGTATATCTCTCCCTACTTTGAACATCATGCTACCTGAAACTAACATGGCTTACAGCATGAAACCACTGCGAGTGCCTTCACCTGGGCCTGCTATCTTCTTACCCTTTATCCTGATATCCAGGAACGCCTTCGTGCCGAAATTCGTGAACGTATCCCATCCGGCAACGATCCCATCACCTGGAGCGACCTCGAGACGCTTCCGCTTCTCAACGGTGTGTGTCAGGAAGTCCTCCGTCTGTATCCAACGGTCCCCATGACTATACGCGAAGCCGTTCGTGACAGCATGGTAGCTGGCACACACATCCCAAAAGGGACCCGGATCCTTCTGTGCCCATATGCCATTAACCGCAGCCCAGAGTTCTGGGGGAATGACGGGGAAGAGTTCAGGCCGGAGCGCTGGATCGACACTGACAAGAATGGTCAGCTTGTCACCAACAACACCGGCGGAGCGTCGACAAACTTTGCACAGATCACTTTTCTCCACGGACAGCGCTCATGTATTGGGAAGGATTTCGCCCGGGCTGAATTGCGTTGTGTAGTCGCTGGTGTCGTTGGCCGTTTCCGTTTCCAGATGCAGGACCCTAAGCAGAAAATCCATATCGCCGGTGCTGTGACGACTAAGCCGGTGGAAGGGATGCATTTGAGGATGAGCAGGGTGGATGACTGGTGATATGCCTTTTGTTTGTAACGTGTTAATGATATGCTACGATATATGAGCTGTATTCATGGTTGTATAAGGCAGCTGAGCTGCCTCTTAGTGTTATTTGTATCTATCTATACTTTTATCCCCCTTCTGTGGGAGTGGTTATGATTATGAGAATGTCCATGCCCTAAGTGCTCACTGATGCGATGCTTCCCTCTTACCTGCTCAGGCTCATCCTCTTCCTCCTCTAAGGGAGGCCATTCCTCCCATCCATCTTCCCACGTCTGCATCATCTTCTCCTGTCTCTCACCTCTGGATAATCTCTTCTTCTTCATAATGCTCTCCCACGTTTTCATTTCCCTATCGTTCAACAAGCATTCGTTTAGCAAGTCTGTAATGGCACCCGTTTCAATCCCCTCCCCAATGAACACGATCTCTTGCCGCCGATCTCCCCATGGCCCCTGAAAGTCGTCCTCAATGGATTTTCTCACGTCTGCATCCTCCGGCCATGCCTCGTCTGGTACCTCGGCAAACCAAGGTCCACCACACCCAATGGTGAGCATGCCCCCGGCTTGGCTCCATTCGCCAAATTGGTAAGGGCGAGTAGCAAGCCAGAAAAAGCCTTTGGAGCGTAAAATGGGACGGAAGACAGGGTGAGAGCGTTTGTTTGAAAGAATTTCCTGGGGGTCTGGCTGGGGGAAATCTTCCATTTCATCATCTTCATCGTCTTCAATCTCTTCCTCTTCTTCTTCCTCGGTTTCACTACCGTTATGTTCTTCCTCACTTCCATCATTCTCTTGTGTTTCAACATTCTGGAGGACAATGAATTTATCATGTATTAAACTGAAGAGTCGCCGCGGATGGAATGGGCGGCGAGCCTTGTACACGAAATTGTTGATGCCGTACCTGTTTAGTCGTTAGACTTGGCGAATAGGAAGGAAAGGAGTGAGAGAAAGCCTCATACTCAACAGTCTCGGGAACAGGAGCCAGTCTTTCCCCATTGCCAGTTTCCCTCTTGGTCATCTCGTGTAAGCTCCTCAACCACCCGGCGCCTGAAGCCGCTTTGAGAAAGTTGAACCTTCCCGTGTCCAATATCTCATTGACATCGACCTTTGAATAGTTTGTTTCAAGTACCTTGGCATCTGGGTTTAGGAGCTTTAGGATAGACCTGATCCTCTCGCGAGTCTTCTCGTCAACAGTCTCGATTTTGTTGATGATAATTACGTCCGCGAATTCGATCTGATCCACCATCAGATCAGAAATGGTTCTTTCGTCTTCAGGAATGATTTCCCCGCCATAGCGATCAGAGAGAAATTCCGCTGTGTCGAAATTGGTAAGCAGGTTAAAGGCGTCAATCACGGTAACGGTCGTGTCAAGTTTGGCTAGCTTATGCAGACCTCCTAATTCAACACTATCGCCGGGTTAGTTCACTCATTTATCACTGTACATATGGAGGATGCAGGGAATAGATACATCTGATTGAGGATCTTCTTCCCCTCTTCGTCAGCAACATCTGCTTCTAGCATGGCAGCGCTGAACTCCGCCGTGAACGTCTCTGCGACCTGCATTGGCTCGCTAATCCCTGTGCTTTCAATCACGACATACTGCACGTCGTCCTGCTTCGTCAGTCGGGCTAGTTCTTCCAGCAGGTCCCCACGTAATGTGCAGCAGATACATCCATTCTGTAGTTGAATGAGGTTTTCCTTTGTTTGGGACACGTGGTGGTTTTTGATGAGGGTTGCATCTATGTTTAGACTGTATCCTTGTTAGAATAGGTTTATGTGTCATTCTTGATAGTGGCATCCATTGTGATACTGTGTTAAGGACATACCTGCTCATGTCATTAACAACGACAGCAATCTTAAATCCATGATCTGACTGGAGAATATGTTCCAGAAGCGTTGTCTTTCCGCTACCCTGTTTGTTGCTCCATCATTAGCCTCTTCCTTGAGACACGTTAGGGGGTAATATATGCTCGTCGTACCAGAAACCCCGAAAGGAGTGTGACTGGAAGTTGTCGACGTCCCTTGGCTCCATTGATGCTGTTGGGCATAGGAAAGTTCATGGTTTCTGGGCCTGAGTTGATCGTCATCCTGGTAGGCTATCAAATAATCTCGTAGCATAGGACTAAAATCACAAAAGTGCTAAGAACTAAAAGCAGGAGAAGGATCTTAATCACCAGATCCTATGTACAAAGGCTTATATACTGGTATACATACTCACCCCCAAGGTTCACAGCTATACATAGTGATATAATTTATAATCGTGCTTGCGATTGGTCCACAAGACAAGGTATCCATTCCGACTCCAAAGGTACTCCATCCGTGCCCTGTAGAGCGTCTTACAAGGTACCTATACTCGCGACGACCACAAGGTCCTCACCCATAGCCGACCAACTACAAGGACTAATGAACAACTGATGACGAAACGCCTTTACTCTCATTGCCATTGGCCCTGGCAGTCTCTATATGTAGTAGGTATCGCATGGACGTTGGAAAGAGAGCGAGACATGTACCTTGCGGGAACGGTCACCCACCAAGAGCAAGAGCAACTGAGTTTCATCAAAGCCGACATGAAAGTGGGGAATAAAAAGGTGTAAGGACACACTAGTTAGGGAGAGGGAGACAAAGCAAAAAGCCGTGAACGAAAGGAAAGATAGTCAATAACACTTGGTATGAGATTCATATCCTTGGCATGGCTGGTCTACACTTCAGTCGGTTGAAGCCTGACATTCTACCCCAATGTCTCCTTGGACGCCATCACAGATAATCTCTGGTGGACTTCCAGAAGGACTTGTCAGATCAATGTTCTTCAGTTGAATATCTGAGCACACTGCATTTGGCGAACACACAAGGTCGGCCACCACCTTTCCATTCTTCCCGGATGATGTCCCCGAGATATTCTCGAAGAGAATGTTGGTCACATTCACCTGAGAGGGGTACTGGGCACATTCCGCTTCCTCAATATCGAAGTAACATTGATCTAGGACTACCGGGGCGTCCGTATTCTCGATATGGATATTTTTGTACGTGATGTTGTTGATTCGACCATAACCCACGTCCTTGCCAGCCCACGCCTTAAGGCGCGCACCATTCTGTCGCTATTAGTGATGACATCGCACGGAGTCTCGTCTTCAAGACAGACTTACCTGCCCATTCAGCAAGGTTACATTCTCAATGTACGCGTTCTCGATGATGTCCATTACTCCTGGATACTGCCCGATACTGCCCATGCTAACCCCATGGGTGTTATTGCACCACAGGTTTTGCACGAAGATGTTGGTGGTATTTGGCTTGGGCGAGAAGCAATCATCTCCAACGTCGACCCGTGTATTTGTAACCTTCAGCCCGTCCACATTAAGTGAGTCGAAGCCGTCGCTATTTTTAGGTTCAGCCTATGTTACCAGTTAGTAAACACGACGGGTCGGATCCCGAGAGGGAAAGAGAGATAGAGAGAGAGAGAGAGACCGACTGATTTATTCGTAGAGAATGCATGAATGTAAACGTCATCGAATGAGACGTCTTTTGACTGGATGAAAAAGTTGGTCCAGCAAGGCGAGTTCAGTTGCGTGATGCCTTCCACAGAAACCCGGGTTGCGTTTTCAGTGAGGAAGAGGATTGGACGATAATAGTCATTGTCGGGATTCTAACACCATTAGCCAAGGCCACTTAATACTCATGATATTCGCGGATTGTACCAGGATCTCCTGCCCTGCAAACTCGTTGTACCATCTCTGGCCGTTTCCATTCAACAAACCAGTTCCAAAGATCTTGATGTCCTTTCCGCCCCACCGCCAAAACGTTATGGATTTCTGGAAATCATAATAGAAATTGTTTTCTTGCCAGTAGGATACATCATCCGTGAACTATTACATCAGCGGGCGTGTTACAGAACATGGCTTCAGACATCGACGAGTACATACCTTCAATTCTCCATCCAGTTGCACCTCAATGTTATCTAAGAATGTCAGGTCAAGCTTTCTACCAATCACATACTTCTCCCCTTTCTTGAGAAGAAGTCGTCCCCCGTGATTGGCATGCTTGATACCCCAAAGGAAGTCCCTCGATACATCATCGGTATCGTTCCGGGAGGGTCGAATGGTTATCGTGCGACGATCATGATACTTGGCATGGTGGCCGCCAACACGCTCCAAGGCCCTTGTATCGCTCTCGGGGATGATCTGCGCTCCAGGAATGAGCTTGTCAACCGCAATGCTGCTCACTGCGCTCGCAAAGAGCGTTGCCAGGAAGAATTTCATGCTGTTGTCAATTGATGTGATCCGTACAGCTCAGTAGTTGTGCACCCATGACGCCCGGAGACAGGCCCCTTTTATAAGGCTCATTGTGCCAGTCGCATCTATAGCCCGAATCACCAAGCAAATCAAAACCCTAGGAGTCCAACAAGAAGTTTATCCGCCTGTAGGATAGCTCCATTTCTGACTTCATCTTTGTCCACCTCCAAAATTATCTTACCATTGAATTCTTCCCCACATCGTGGGGAATATGATCGCAATGCGACATTGTAATATCTGGGGTCTGGGGTATGGTTTGTCATGAAGCTCTGGCCTTGCCAGAATTTCGCCGGCTGGGAGGGATTTTATACTTCCACCAATCGGATATCCTTCATATCGCACTGCTGCAAACGAAGTGCCAGAGTGGTGTGATATCACCAGGCTGGAGTATACGGAGTACAGCCGTAGGAATCGAGCCTTGTCTCCCTATGTCGTTAAATTGTTGATTTGTGGCATTCTATAACATTTCCCGGGAGGGTATGGTTTTGGTAATTCAATTACTAGTACTAGGTGAACGTCATCAGCGAATGTGGCCAAACCAGGGGCTAGGAAAAGGAGAGCGGGGGAACTAAAAGAACTAACTAAATATCAATATGAGTATGAATATAAGTATAAATGACCATAATAAAGTAAAATCGAAGACACCTATCCGTGCGTATCTCAAACATCTTGACGGAATGATTCAATTCTAAATGCCACCCAGGCAAATAATTACAACGACAGACGAAGATCGGAGGAACTAGTAGTAATGGAGTCAGACCAGCGCCCCATATCCACAGAAGATCATTTCCTTCAACATATTACAGCCCCACAGTCCAGAAAGTGATTTAATTTCCTGGGCTCAATGAAAAGTTCAAAAAGCTCGTATCGACCTCCACTTATCGTAAGTACAACCAACAGATCTGCATCGTGATTCCCAGTAATCTCGGCTCTTGGTGGTGCCGAGGGAAACGATTCAAGGTATGTACATACATATGTTCATACGTACCCTCAAACTGGTAATGGCAGAAACGTTGCCTCAGCAATTGACAAGGAGGAATTCTGAAACTTAATACCATCACAGTTTCTTCGAGGCAAACCAGAAAGCAGTGAAGCAGCAGATATTGCCCGACCACCAAAAGAACGAACGAACAAAGCTCAGTTTGAGAGACTCGATGTACTTGTAGCAGAGCCCGAACGCCAGCCGTGACACCGCATACCATAGTCCAATGCGGTTGATTACATCATTAGACACACCCGCGTGAAGAGCGACAAGTACTAGGGGGATCAGTATGCATCTCGGTCAAATCACCATGTTGGGCAAGGACCATACTTGCGGCTACAAACAATGGGTAATGTTCTGCTGAATTGGCCATGCTGGCTTCCTGCCGCTTGAGTCGATTCAAGGTTTGCCGTGTGATCTTGCCTGATTGTACAGCGGCCTCTCCAAATTTGGCGAGGTCGTCACGAGGGGCCTGGTTGTGATCGATACCGAGCTTCAACTTCTCCCGCCGCGTGCTGAATAGGCCAAATGAGATGAGCCAGTTGGCCACCAGATAGGCCACGGCATGATTGGAGGCCTGCTCTCCGGGAGCAGCCTGAAGACCAAGAGTGGTCAGGACGGCCCTGGTGGTGTTAACATTGCAGCGAACTTGCAGCGTGGCATATATATTAATATAGAGCATTCCACACTCACGACATGCTGAGCATATACAACTTGGCTTCTATCAGAGTTTGGTTTCGGAAGGGTATCTGATATGATCAAGGGATGGGAGGAAGAGCGACCCTTATAATACCATGCTAAACGATCGGCGGGCCAAACACATCGATGACTCATCACCGAGAGCACGTGCATCAACTGTCAAGTAAACCATTGATGTGCGTTCTCAAAACCATTCAAAATCCTGTTAAAAAGTCCATATTCCATAGTTCCGGAAATCCGTAGTCCGCCGAGTCAAACAAATTACCAAAGTCAAGTGGCTGGTAGATGACTGTTAGTCCAACAAAGTAGATAGAGCGTAGGGCGAGGATATATATCCTTACTGAAACAGGAGCTGACTCGTAGGGAACCAACGCAGGATCAAACGGTATCTCAGAAGCCGCAGAGTTCATGCTAGGTGTTGAGGTATCCGGCTATATCTGTATTAGCAGGAGTCAGTGCATGAGACATAAAATAACATACCACAACGGGGCCTTCTTCTCTTCGGATATCGATCCATGCTTTTCCTCGAATCAGCCGTTCACAGTCCTTAATAGATTTTGCAGCCACCTGTTCGACCTTTCTTAGGGCATCCTCTCCATTCAGGCGCGCCTTGACGGAAGCAAGGGCCATTGCAAGGAAAATAAACGCCTTGCACCCTTTCCCCCGTGGCGAAATTCGGCTGCCAAAGGTGTCCAGCGTATGCTCCACAGCCCGGACTAAGACATCCTGCTGGGACCGTACCAAGTCATTCAGCGAACTTAGTGAACTAATCTGGCCAGATGGCTGTTTCGATGACGAGAACTCGGTAGCTTGAAGGGAAACTTCCACACAGACGGTGATCGCGGCGTGGAAAAACTCGTCGCGGAACATCCCCCCACTGAGCTGCCCTAGATGTGGACATGCCTGTGCCTCTGGGAGGCTAACAGCGGGAGCATCCAACTGAGAAAGCATTTCCAGAGATGACTCGAGACAGATCTTCCGTGAATAGGAAAATTTGGGCGACAATTGCACACTGAGGGAGAACGGACGATGAAGAACAAGTAAAAAGCGGACCATGATGAACACGAAGAACGACCTCGTGAACTGCAGGCTTTCAAGGGAAATGGATGTGGATGCGTTATCAGGGAACAAAGCCAAGACGTTATCCCGGTGCTGAACCAGTTGTTCACTCAGTCGCAATGCCTCGTCATAAGACAAAGTGAATTTCAAACCATTGACTAACTTCGCTATCCGAACACGCAACGACAACGACTGCGACAGCAGAACCTGGAAACTGCTGCGTGTCACCATTTCTGCGTCCTTCGGGATAACGTCCTCTGTCAGATCCTCCATTAGGTCATCATCGTCATAGTTTGACGGTGGGTCACAATCATATTCGTCTAAGTCGATTGAAGGAGGCATACCTCCGTCCAAGGCGGACTGTAGATCCAGCTCCAAGATGGTAGCCCATAGACGACGACGCATCTCAGCCCAAAACCTGGTCATCTTTGGAAAGCGCGCAGGGTTTCGGTGCAACCCTATCATCATAGCAGAGCGGATCAAAGAACCCGAGGAGATCCAGACAACGTCCCCATCTGTGGCGTCAGCCTGGCGTGCGAGGATCAAGATACACTGGATCTGCAGCATATTGAAGTCAATCGTCGAGCTAACATTAATGGATGAGATCCATGATTGTACTGCCATAATCCACCCTCCTGCCGCACTATGCAGAGTATCTTTCTCATTCAGTCTCGTTGATGGGCTAAAGAAGCAACTACTAGCAGCCATCACGGCCAGAAGTTTGGCAATAAAGGCCATATCAGTGGTTTCGGTACCAGCCCAGTATGTCTCATATTGCTTGAGAAATGTCGGAACGTGCAAGATTCGATATGTCGTCTCGAAGGTGGATAGATACAGGTTGACTAGCTCATCGGCGACTCTCCGATGCGGAAGCATCTCTTCCAGCGTGAAAGCTTTCTCACGGTATGCCCTCTGATGATCTTGCTTCTCTCGAGATAGCATTTCACCCCTGAACTTTTTCAATTTGAGATACTCCGGGCTTTTCGACTTCTTCTGCATGCGTCGGTCTTGGAAGTAGGAAGCCACGTCTTTGAACTGTAGCTATTTAGCACAGGAACTTTGTGCGACTCGTTGCTACTTACAAATGAGAATGATAGTGCTGAATGGCAACGCCCACAATATCTGGTCTTTCCATTTTTCCCCCTGAAACATGCTCGCCCTGGTAGATGCTTGACGTCCTCACTGAGTAGTAGAGACTCCGAGGTTATCCGGGGCCCGTAGTCCGACACAGACTCGCACGCCGAACTGTCCGGCGTTTGGATGGACCCAACTCTGGACAGAGCGCTTTCCAGCACTTGCACACGATGTCGGAGTTCTTGCACTTCCTCAGGGCGTCCTTTGGGCTTGGTGATTCGGTGTGTAGACTGATGCCGCGAGTCGAAGACGTAGAGTCCACCATGGCCTGGACTGGTGTGATTACTGGGCACATTGGCCCGGTCGGAAGCGGTGCGAATCGGTCGAGTCTCCAACGGCTGGCCCGGCGCGGGTCCGGAGTAAGCGCAGAGATCAGGGGTCTTTGACTTGACGCATTGCGAGCACGGTAATGCTCGATCGCACTTGAGCTTGCGACGTCTGCAAACAGTACAAGAAAGAGCCGGTCGGCGCCGTCGGGGTACTAGGATCGAGTCCGGTGATGTTGACGTTTGTTCGTTATGATTTCCTAATTGGCGATCTTCGTACATCTTGAGAATCTATCGTCTGACCATTTGTTGGTTCAAGTAGGAGATATCTCAATAACGAGGAGGGATATGCGTTAAGATATCGGTACCTAAGAGGGAGAATTGATACTCGGTGCCAAATCCAACACACATTCTCAGACTGATAACAATTCTGGTCATCAAGAAGAATCATTCTTCCCGATGGCCTGATCATCTATTATGAAGTCACGATCGGAGCAAAATCCACCTTCGGCCTTACGCTTTTGGGCCAAACTCGGAGATAAGCGGCTCGGGAAATTCTACTCGAGTAACCATCACCGACTTCCGGTTACTTCCAACCTTAGGCATTCCATACCGATGCCTGAACCGCAATACACTTCGTATATAAGTTGTGACGATGACATTGCTCGAGCATGATCCATCCGGACAAACCCTATGGCTTCGTGACGAGGTTTCAGGATTCGTTCCAGGAGGTTCTAGCCTCTTCCGCTGTTTGATATTTTGTTTATATACTTCACTGTATCAATAAATACAGGTAACTTGGTCAAATAGCTTATTTACGCCTCCAGAAAGGCTTCATCACCGATCGCACATAAACAAGAACATAGACCATCAAATAGTTCGAGATCACGAATGCAAAGAAAATTCCGAAATAGGGCCAAATCTTCGACGAGTCTAGGCCAAGGCCAGACAGATACTAGACAGTATCGTTAGTTTGACAGATATATTGAATCGACCATTATTGCCATCCACCCAAACAAAGAAGTCAAAAAAAACAGGACCACTTACATCATCTCCATAGCTATACTTGCAATATCCGCATTTGCTTGTGTCATCTGGATTGGAGAGGTAGCCTACGCCATGCTCTGCAAGCCACGGGCCTGCATACTCTCCGCAAGTCATGTTCGGTGGGCTTTCAAAAATCGTTAATTCGCTGCTGTCGCAAATGACGGGCATGCCACGTAGGACAGCCGTTAGGACACCGCCGATCCAATAAGTGAATGGCGTGGCATAGTACATGGTGTACTTCCAGAACACGGGCATGTTATCGTGGGGTTGGAGGATACCGTTGAACAGCTCGCACATGATGATAAAGAATGGCATGAGGGTCGCAGCCACCATAGAGTCAGCGCTGTAGCCGTCTGTCAGCATGGAGTGTACGTATAATTATCCCTGTTGGAAGCAAGCTCACCTCAGCGCTGCGATCCATTGACCCCAAGACGTCGCGAACAGAAAGAACAAGAAGAACATCAAGAAACTATATCCGGCAGCAAATCCCAAAGGGAGTCCGACAATGAAATAATAGAGCACATAGAATATCACGGCGCTAATTATGGCGTACGGGATCTCAGATACAATTTGTGCTGTACAGAAGGCAACCCATCCGTAGACACCGCTAGGATCTTCGCGTGCCTTCCATATCTCACGATTCATGATAAACCGCATAGAGATGGCGTTGATGAACTCAGGTACCAGCATAAGAACCAAGAAGCATGAGAAGGCCTTCGATTGCAGGTCGGTTGAGCTGTTCCCAATCTGTAGGTAAGTGAGACCGTTAATCAGGGCGTGTAGGAACGACGCATAGAGCCGGGAGTAAGGATACTCTGGGCTTCGCCAGTACTGCCGCAAAGTACGCTTGGTCAAAAGGCCTACCTGGCGATAAAGTGGCGGAGTGGAGATTCTTTTTGAATCTTGGAAGACGTCGGCCTTAACTCCCTTACTCCTGATGTCGCATATGTCTTTCTTGACCAGATCGGCTTCCTTGGATCGGTTCCATACGTCAGCCCAGTTGACTTGGTGTGTGGTGTCTTTCATGCCCCCTACGACAACTTCGATCAAATAGTCTGCCGCATTGGTCACATTCTCCGGCTTGTGCCCATGCTTGGAGAAATACTCAAAGATTGAACAGCCGGACTGCCCTACTTCCCCAAAGTAGTAGGTACTTCCACCAGGACTGAGAGCCAAGACGCGATCAAACTCCTCGAACTGCTGCTGGTTTGCTTGGTGAATGGTACAAAGAATAGCCAGTCCCTGGTCTGCCAACCGTCTCAACAAAGCAACAATACTAGAAGCACCCTGGCTATCGAGTCCGCTTGTCGGCTCATCCAGGAAAAGTAGCAACTCAGGCCTCGCGCAAAGCTCTACTCCAATAGTAACACGCTTCTTCTTTTCGATATCTAATGATCCGATGAGGGCGTTCTGCAACTCGATCAATTCAAGTGTCTCGATGACCGTGTTTACGTATGAGAGCTTTTCTTCATCGGGCACTTCAGGGTTCTGGCGCAGCAGCGCTGAAAATTCAAACGCCTCACGGACAGTGCTGCTCTCATCATGAATATCCATTTGCTGGCAGTATCCGATCTGACGGTTGAAAGACTCATCAACAGCATGTCCGTCGACGTACATTGTACCCGTCAACTTTCCAGAATTTGGTCGCCGAGTCAGGGCAGTCAACACTGTAGTCGTTAGCAAGGGAACACGGAAAGGAGTGAACAGAGCCTTACGAGTTGATTTTCCCGCTCCAGAGGCGCCCACCAGAGCCGTCAGGGTTCCGGGCTTGCAGTAGCCACTGACTCCATTGAGCAGCTTTCGCGTCTCTTTCCCGACTTGGACAAACAGCTCCAAATTATCCCAAGTAAATGTGGACATTGTTCCGGTGATGGCTTGGCCAGGCTTTTCACTAGTGTTTGCTGAATCAGGCATGGTTGCATCGCGTTGGACAGGGTTGCTTTCTTCATCCGATCCTTCCCTGTGGGTTCGTCTTGAACTTCTCCGCGACTTCTTATACTGTATGGGGCCCGCACTGTCCGGTTCCCATTCCATGATCTCACTTAACCAGCAAGTACAGGCGATGTAAACCACAGTGAAGAGGCACAATATTCCAAAGTTGCGCCAGACATGACCAAAAGAAAAGCCGTATTGCGCTGCTAAGTAGTCGTCACCATTCACGACAGTCGTTCCGATCTGACTTCCTGCATAACCGCAAGTCTGATATGCAATGTTGGTGTAGTTGGCACCGGAAGGGACAACAGATTCTGGTGAGCAAGTGAAGTTGGTATTGTGAAATTCTGCTGCCATCGTTGCCTCGTAGGTATAAAGAGCTGGAGTGGTATACTGAAGAATGGCATGAGCATCGAGCAGAACAAGGGATCCTTGTAGAATTCTTACCGCTATCCATCCAACCCAAGGAACGTCTTCAATCATCCTATCTACCGAGAGGACATAACCACCAAAAACTATGCAGAACAGCACGGATACGCCACAGTATCGCAAAGCAACTTCAAAGTTGGAAGACGCGGCGGCGAACAATCGGAACTGGGCCGTTAAACAGATGGTACATAGATAGATGAATAAGAAGTCAATCCAAAAAGCTCCGGCCTGGTTGAACGGTTAGTGAGAATTTTCATACTAGATACAGAGGAGCAACCTACATCGGATTTCAAGCCAGATAAAAAGTAAACCACGATCAGATAAAGAAACGTGAGCACTGCTGCTATGAGGAAATCCGTAATAACCCTGGCCAAACATACAGCACTGGGTCGAACAAACGCAAACTTCTTTTGACGGCTGAGAATATCCCGCCCTTGCATCGCTTCTTCCAGTTCGGACATCTGGAGCCATGCGAGCAGAATGGAGGAGTAGAAAATGACTCCTCCTCGAGAATACATCCCTGCGGTAGTCTGCGGCTGGTTATAGAACATAGAACCGACCAGCAACCCGTAGACAACAGATGATATTATTTTGATATACAAAGGAGACATATGTCCCCGGATCTGCCAGAGCTGTCGCTTTGCACAAAGCACCACCTGTCGGAACACGGAGATCGTATACGGGGACTTAGGCGAAACAAAACGGGACTTGTCTGTTTGTATGGCCTTCTTGAAGTCTTCCAGACTTCCATCGTCTGAGTCGGTCTGCGAGCATCGAACACTTTTTCCGCCAAGGCATTGATCCTCGTACTGCTGTACATCACACTGGACCTTATGGTAGGCTGGGCTTTTGCGGAATGTTTCCTCCAGCTCAATGGGGCCTTTGGGGGCTCGGTGCTCCCAACCAGGTCGGAATCTGCGTCTCTCAGGAACTGTGATGCTCGTTAAGAAGTCCGAGATTGTCTGCATTTCCGCGCACTCGTAACCCAAGTCTTCAAAGTAACGCTTTGCTTCCCGAGCTGGGCCTTGGAAGAGCATGCGCCCTTCGTCAATCAGAAGAACCTTATCAACCAGGTCGTAAATGGCATCCGATGCTTGATACAGTGTCATTAGCGTAGCTTTGCCGCATGTATCAGTCATAATTCGGAGACTACGAGCATAGTCCAGGGCGGATGAAGCGTCAAGTCCCCTGGTGGAATTATCCCAGCATGAAACAGAAGAATCCGTTGCGAGGGACTCAATGATTGAGATACGCTTGCGTTCCCCACCAGAAACACCTCGAATGTATTCGTTACCGACCAATGTATTCATCGTGTGAGACATGCCAAACACGCGGCCGTAGATCTCAAGGTAACGAGAGATCCGGTCTTGGTATCTCTGGGGTGTCTTACTCTGGAGCGCAAATTCCAGCGTCTGTTGCACCGTGAGTGTAGGAAAATGTACATCGTCCTCTGGGACATAGGCCACCTGGCCACGATAGTGCTTTTTGACCTCTTCTAGGCTGAGACCAGAGTAGTCCAACGACCCTGTCACTCCGAGGAACGAAGAGTGATGGCCCGCAATTGTTCGTAGAAATGTCGAGCAACCAGCTCCCGGTCGTCCCAGCACCCTGTTGAGTCGTCAGTCTGAGAACATCTTCGTTGGTACATGGCTCTATAAGCGTAGATGTACTTACAGCATGATCTCACCACTTCGAACGGCACCTGAAAAATCACGAATCAACGGACGTCCGCTCTGAGGTTCCTTTTTAGAAAGCCAGGGCTGGATCGTCCACTCATAGACATCCTGAAATGTCAATGTGCGCCAGAGTGCCGTTCCCAAAGTCTTAACATCGGTGTGCTCCTCACCATCCCCCCATGTCGACAGCGATTGAAAGCAAACTCCAAGATTCGACTTTTTCCGGCCCGCTTGCAACTCTGCTTCTAAAAACTTGTCAAAGGAAGAGTGCGGCTCCGAATAAGCTTGTTGGGGGCTATGATGGCTAATCTCAGTCAAGGTCCGACGGATCTCCGCGATGGCATCCTCATCGTCGTGAGACAAGTATACCCGAGGAGAGGACAGTGTATCTGATGGACTCTCAGCTTCATGGTTGGCAGCTAGGGAGGTGCTCCCATGTGGGTGAGCGTGGAGATGGGCCGGCATGGTAAATCCACAGCCCTTCTTTAGCCTGGTGGCCCGCAAGATAAGTCTGATGTAGAGAGATCAGCTTGATGTATCTATCCTCAACCATCGCACACAAAGACAGATTTATATACCAGTCGGTGTGGCTAGACTGCAGGCAGCACTAGTTTACAGGTCTTGTGTGCTGGATTAAAGAGGAAGCCAAGCTTCACTGTCCCAAGGCTATTGGACGTCATATAAGACAGTTTCTGTGGTTTTTGTAGGTATAATGGTGCAAAGAGATTCGACGATCATCTCTCGAAGGGCCCACCACTTTCGGTGTCGCAAAAGAAAATTACTCGCATCGTATGGCTATAGAAGGGTTGATTGGCCAGTAAGGCCCGAGAAGGCAAAAGCTCGGCATCTGGACTACTAGGATAGAGGGAATTTTCCGAATGGGGCAGTTGTCTAGAGTGGATGAATGAATCATGGGTGCTAGGAACCTGGAATTTTCCCCTAGCGTTCCAGACTTCTCCAGTTAAGCTAAAAGGGCAGCCAAGATGCAGTGCGTATCTTGAGCCCCACCTCTCCACTAGTATCTTCTAAGAGAAGGAGTAGGATACTCCATACCGAGTCTTAGGCTATACCCCGGGATCAACGTAAATATGCTCTACTAGTATGATTGGATAGATAGACATCGGTTGCTTTGCTGTACAGAGAGTACATACATGTCCGTATTCGTAGTATTCGTCGCTGCCAGTAGTACAGCGTACTACTGGTAGTTAACCTAGGGCTACGTAGCAGCACGTTCTCCAATCGAATTCTTACCACCCAATTGGTGGGTTTTTTTTTTGTTTAACCTGAACGGGATTGGACGTCAGGTGGCCACCAGCCTTTACCCTTTACGGGTAATCTTTCGCCCAGATGGATCCCAATCCAGATTCTTCATTTCTTCTACAGCCGAAACTAATCAAAGGAAAAAATAAATCAAAGAGGGAGAGAGAATAATATCCTCATCTTGAAATGAGTCATCTTTATTAGCAAGTAATTTTCTTTTTGAACAGTGGTCGATATCATTAGTCCACATATCATAATTGTTTTGCTTCAGTGCTCATCAATAACCACGATACTATACTAATTGATTATACCGCCAAGTAACTCCATATATACATTCTATATGATCCCCACTCACGGCATGGTGTAAAAGTAACTGGATATATCACAAGTCCTAAGTTCATATCTACTTCTTCAGTAACATATACATCTCCCTGTACGGAGCTGCTTTGCTCTGAACTAGCCGCGATGGACGTATCTAACAACTTCAACCCCGTATAGATGCTACGTACATAATCAATAACATATTGTGCTGTCCATAATCATCAGTCACAGCAGAGTCTCGGTCATATATTACCTCCCAGTTTCGCAACTGCTTTGTTGGCCTCAACAGCTATTTCCCAAGCTAAAACTCTCCCTCGATGCATTAACTCAATCAATATCCGAGTCTATTACTCGTCCGTCTCATGGGCAATCATGCCTTGTCTGCTACACTGTCTGATACTTGGCAGTCAGACGGGCCAAAGTACAACTGCCATGAAACACACATTAATAGATAATTTCCAACTCTGTGCTAATTCGAAGCTACTTCAATAGTGTACCAAAGACACAAATCAACAGGCTACTTATGTGTAGATTAACTATCATAAATACCCATGCAACCACAGAATAGTGGGAAAATATATTGATCTGGTTAGTTAAAATATCAATACAACATCGCCAAAGAACTAAAATTTTCTGGTTGTACATGTCTCAATTTACTACATTATCATATTCTACGCTTCTTATAATTTTCGATAGGTTACACATGGCCTCAAGATTTATTGTAATATTGTTGATACATTATATTTAGTCAAGAACCCTACCAACCCTACAAAATATATAGAATACCCCCTACGCTCTATGAATAAAGTGTCGGTGTATCCATGCGTTACGAAGTATGATAAAGGGCAGGGGTCAACGGAACCGGGCTTTTGCATAGCCCATATCTTACCAGCCAGTCCACCTATATTGGAATACACACATGAAAACACAAGCTAAACAGAATGGCACAGACTTGTATCAAAATTGCCTAACAAAAGTGAACCAATCTCTATTTCTCAGGGAATCATCAATCTGTAAAATCCAAAGCATTGTATGCATCAAACAATTTCATAGCAGTCAGAACCCTGAGAAATTTGTGGTCTCCATAGAGCTACAGACTGAGGTCTTGGAGTTCTTGATTCATTAACCAAGGCGCAATCTACTAAACACTATCATTATAGACTCTTCGCACAGGATCTAACTCACGGATAGGTTCATGATCTATATGACACAGTCAGATAGGAGATTAACTACCTTCCTAACCAGTGAACAATCGAGTTATATCTAATACTAAAATTTATTACTATATATCTCAATCGCTATGTTGAGCCATAGTCATAGAGACCAATCGGTCGAAATAAACGCAGGAGTGAAAGTTGTACACTTTGCCAGACAACGCGTTATATAGAGACGGCATACAGCTTGACAAGTCATTTTCATCTCCCATTCTAGTACTATGGTTTCCGGGCCACAAATACGGGGCGGAACTCTGGCTCAACCAAAGCCACCCTATACAAGCGTTGTCTCAGGTTTTAGTTTATCTTTAACCCTTTTATGTTTTTGTGCTCTATGTGATGAAGCAGCTCTTTTTCTAAAATGCGCAAAACCATAAATGACATGCCATGACCCTCCTCGGTACTAAGATTTTGACGATAACCAAAATTTGCAGCTGACTATGAGGCCTTTCTTGTTGAAGCTCGAGTAGTCACACATGAAGTACGCCTTTACGTCTTAGTGAGCCACAAACTTTCCAATGGCGCAAGCGATGGGGTCTGTATGTCCCAATTTGTAGTGAAACAGGTCTTAATCTTTGTGCTTGACTGCCGATGTTTTCTCTTTTCTAAGACTGGCCATAGATCGGTCTTGATTATCCGTAGTGTGGTTAGAGTGAACTCATATAATGTGTACTGTGTATACAGTTATATACGAAAACACGCTATACCTATTTTGGTTATCCGCTGGCTCCACTGGCATCACGGGTTATGATTCATGTGTGTTGGGATAAGAACCCGCCCTCGCCTACCAACAACATCAGGAAATTGTAGGGATTACCCTACTAGTCACGATGATACCGATATGTTCCCTCCGAGGCCTTTAGACTTTGAAATTAATCAAGAGAAAAGAAACACTTCTAACAATGCTATACAACGCCCTCATCCGCACCCACCACATTACCTCCCGCAAGAAGGTTGCTGCGCTGAAACAAGCTGCATCCGCTCACGATTGCTTTGCACTCCTTCGCTCTGGTGGCATTCCTGGAATCATGTATGTTGAATCAAACGAGAAAAATGCTGTTGAGGCATGGGTGAGCGTGGTACGCAATCTGAGATATAAGGATTTCCAGCTTGTGGCTAGGCCTGGACTTCTAGAGAAAGATCTTCAGAATCGGAATGAGAACGGGAAACAGCAGGGCGCTAAGAAAAGTAATGGACAACAAGAGCAAGGTGGGAGGGATTCTGTCGCTGGTCTAGAAGAGGTCGAGACAGTCAAGGAGTTCGGAAGTATAATGGAAGATCGCGGTGTTTGGAGATGGTGGAGGAAGGGGATGGGATATGTGAATTGATTGGCGATTTAGACTGTGCTATTGGGGCTAAAACTCATTAATAATCTACAGCACATATTCTGCACAGCTCTGGCGAGTGATGTGGCCTGGATTGAAGCAATCTACTTGTTCTCATACAGCCTGGGATGCCCGAAGAGCGATCACAACGCAGGTGCATAGGGTTAGTGGATTCATACGACCAGTTGCGCTGCCCAGTATGGATCTTCGGGATGTGTTATTGCATTATCAACCAAGATCTCCTCTTTCAAAGCATGCAATGGTCTTGAAGCTATTTGCAGGAGGTCAAGCAGAGACCTCAGTGTCACCTCAGTCACTACCGCCCGTGTGATCCTGTTATCGGATTATTCCCTGGTAATTTGGCAAGTGGCCCATGCTGGCCCAATTGCTCCAACGGTGGAGGTGCATCCAAAGAATGTGCGATTGGAGTCAGTGCCCTTGTTTGGTTGTTTGTGATCGAACATTCCGGATCGTTTAGCCCCTCCAGGCCCGTACATGTCGCCATAGCGTTCTGCAGTGCGCTCTGGTCTGTCCAGCCGTTGATAAAGTCTCCATGCAGACCATATCCTGTTGGATCGCCCATAGCGTACACCCAATTCTCATAGTCAGGAAAGGGTTTCGTGTTAAAGAAGAATTCCATAAATATCGAATACACAGCCACCGGATGGGTCTCCGGGCAAACACCCTGATTATAATCCCCAACCGCGGGATAGGCCATCTAATTCAACATCAGGCTAGAACATGTCATAATCGTCGATGCTTTACTCACGTGGCTCTGATGGTCTGGACTATCGAGAGCTTTTCCATCCCAGCATGAGGGGAAAAACACTTGCGATCTCAATTTCAGACATGGTTGCTGGGGAAGATGTTTTGTTTCGCTTGAAGTCCCATCATCCTTCATACACATATGGGAGATGGCCCGCTGTGCGAAGTTCGTCTCGTTATACGTTCTATGACAGCATCAGCCCTGCTGCACCTTGAATGACTCGCTCCAAAAACCTCTTACCGGAGAAATAAATCTCCAGCAACGATGCGCAGGCCGGGGGGTGGCGCCAGCGGGTATTCTGTACCATCGCAAGATGTTGCGTTGGGGGAATAATCGCATGCTCTGTTGAAATAATATATTGCCTGGTTTGCTATGTCAGGTGCCGTCCGGATATTCTTCATTACTGTTTATAACATACGCTGTTCTCAAATTCGATTGTTTCAAACCCATCTCGCGTCTGATGATATAATTGTGGAATCCAGTAATTGCTCCGGTCTATCGCAACCTCACAGGTTGTGTCGTTGGCATTTTTAGCAGTCTCGGTTGTCATCAGCCTCTGAAAAGCTGTGCCCCCTACAACGACGTGCGTGTGTGAGGAAGGCTTTCCCGGAGATATAATCGGATCAGACCGTTGTGTTGTCAATGGTAAACAGCTGAAAGTGAATAGGCTGTCTGTCGGACCAGAAGTACTCGCAGCTGACTGGCATAATGCGAGCGACAAGATCGCTGCGATGCCACATCTTTTGCAGCCCGTTAATGCCATCATGGTATAGGTGAAGATATGGCGAGGATGGCAAGAGTTTGTTTGTTGTTTCTCAAACTGAAGCAGTTGCCCCTCCTTTCCCTTATGTGTCATCTTCAGGCATGTTTGTTGGATACCGAAGCCCAAATATGCTCTCATGCCAGTTGAAACCTTGATACCCACCCAGTTTAACAAGAATGAGGTGAGGTCGGTTGAGAATGCACGTGTCCCCTAAATGCAGGGTGAATTCTCCGGTGATTTATTATAATAAAATGGGACAGTCTATATGATTTACATGTAATGCTAGCCCGTGTGTAAACCCAGGAACGCCGGTCATACTCCATCGAATATGCATTATACAGGTTCATTTGAGCTAGAAGGCTCAGAATGCTCTCTTGGAGGCCAATCAGGGGCCGGATAACTCAGAAGCTTGCAGACGTCCTAATGGCTCTGTTAATAAAGTCGTATGCCGATGGAAAGGTGCAACACAAACCTTTCGCCGCCGTCGGAAGTCATGATAGATACTCTTCCACACCTCTCGATCACGGCACCCACTTTCTTGGGGTGTGCCAGGGTTGTGTTTACACTTGGGCAACATTTCAGCCAGCAACTTCTGCGGCCACAGTACCCACGGTTTAGGCAAAGGCCAATCTGAAAAATGCACAAGCTTGGCTTCTGCTAGCGCTTTATCCGGATCCCAGACCTCATAGTCATTTCCCAGGAAATTTCTGTGATCCTCAGTGCGGAATTCGCCACTCACTAAGCCATACTGGCGATGTGGAAGCACGGTGGCGGAATCGGCATAACGTTCGTTCAATAACTCCATATCGTATCGATGTGTCGATGATGCATTGACCGTTTTCTGTCCGTATATAGCCGGAAGCGCCGTCTCCATCAGAGCATTATATTCATTGTAGGACGGTTCGATTACAATCAGCAGAGACGACAGTTGTTTGGTATCCGGAAGCTCCCAATACGCCCGTGGCATCGCAACCTTGGTCGGAGGAAGGAAAAATAGCTCATCCATGTTCTGCAGAACGTTGGCATCGGAGTCGAGGTGGATTATCCGATCGTACTCGCTCTCGCCGAAGGCAAGCAATTTAGAGATACTTTTATCCCATGATTCTCCAGATCCTGTCAAGGAATATAAATCTTATTAGCCCTTGCTTTTACCTCGTTGGTTTTTTGCTGCCACAACACACCTGCCCCCGGTTTGATAGTCTCCAAGCTGATGGGGATCAGCATCACATTGTATTTATCTCTTGCCATCGCCAACAACTGGCTATCCCTATCACGCTCGCTTTCGACACTGACATCCCAATCTTCAGGGAAGAATAATACCCGTTGTGCCCGACTTCCTAGCCGTTGCAAGGCTTCGAATACCATGAGGGCGTTGCACAGATAGGCGCTAGAGGTCGCATACTGGCTGTAGGCATAACGGGACCAGTCCACCAAATCGTAATTTATGTGAGGCAGGGCCGGAGGCGGGGGACGCTCCCGCCGGAGCCATAAAATAAAAAGGACGAGGAAGGCGAAAACCACCCATGTCCGAATGCGTCTAAGTTGCCGTTTGGCGATTGCCAGGCATGGTTCGTCAGGGATATCGAAGAAGTCATCTTCGGAGGATTGGGAGCCTCTGCGGTGAGGGAGTCTCGGCACCTTCTTAATTGCCATTTTTAGTGGTGCAGTTGAGCAAAACAGGGAGCCATTGCTGGATTCAGATGCAAAGGTCGCATATACTCCAAGGAGACGTTTGGACGCGCGTCCGTAGTTGTCTGTTGAATTGACGGATCGCAGTCCACATTGGCGCACGTGATCGCTGCGATCCGGGGATTGAACACAGTTTTGTCTTAAATATTGTAGTTTTATCCGTGTACAGTCTATGGTTCTGTATTACAAAATACATATTCATACATTCGATGGGCAATGCATGCCACGCCTCTTCACTGCCTCTTCACTTACCGCGCGCTACTGGACCCCGTCAAGTCGCGCTTGAATTGTTTCCTCGTCAAATTGTCCGTGCTCCCCGACATAATTGCGAAGTGCTTCCAGAGTCATCAATCGCCGTGGCGCTTTCCGTCCAGTCAGCAGCTCAAACTGAGCGATGGCCTGCTCAATAACGTTGTCGAGCCCATCTACCAGAACCCATGGCCGTCCAGTTTCACTGCGGAAACGACGCATTTGACGTAAGAGTGGGGTTTCCAAGGGTTTGTATGCAAACTATGTCCAGGATCAATATCAATCAGTAATTATTAGAGTTGCAGAGGGGTGGAAGAGGAGAATGATGGAGAATGAGGAGGGAGAGGAAGACCAACCTCTAAGACCACCCCACCAGTAGGACTCTCAAGCCATTGCATCGGCATCTCGAAGTTTGCTGGAGGTTCATCTTGGTCCGGGTCGGCAGGTACACAAGACGCAATCAAACATGGATGACAAGTATCTGACGGCCACTCATCTTGCAATGACTTCAGCACATGCACCACTTTTGTAGAGCCAACCTGCGATGCAGCCCATGAATTAAAGTGACGGGCTACATTCTCGGCGCGGGACAAGGTGCGGTTGTATATAAAGATCTTTCGGCATCCTAGACGAAGCATGGCATAAATGGCAGCACGCCCCATGCCGCCCGCTCCAATTACCAGCCCAGTCGTCTTCAACGGACTAATGGCATTACGCGGCGAAAGGTTGCGATTCATGCAGGTCATGATTCCCACCCAGTCGGTATTCTCACCGTACCAGCCCAGCACGGGCCCCGCCTGATTGCGACGGCTAGCCTGCTCTTGTAGAGGGAACATCGTCCCATCGGCGCGCGCCCGCAAAGGCATAATCGTGTTAATCGCTCCAATTGCCTCTGCATGTCGACTTTTCGAGGAGAGCTTCTGGAAAATTTGCACCCTCCATGGTTGGACAACACTAGCACCACCAAAATGCGGATCTCGGCCCAGTTTGTCTAAAGCCGTGAGAGAGGGAGATTCGGGAATACTGTAGGTGTGGCTCATGCCACAGTGGTGGAAAGCAGCATTGTACATAGCTGGTGAGAGACTGTAGGCCACACTAGCCCCAAGAATATAAAACTGCAGAGGATCCAGCACATAACTTTGAAATAACGCCTGTACCGCATCGCGTGAAGTAATCAGAGGATCTGTTCTATTGCCCGTGGGGCGCTTAATCGCCGGGTGAGTGACCGAGGTGAGTGTTGAATTGAACACCTGGGATGTTCGTCCAAGGCTGCCTACGTTGTAGGCGATGATAGGCAGATGCTCGCCCGGTAGAGACTGGATTTTGTTTATAAATTTGGCGACAGCCGCGTTATCTTCGCGCTCCGTTGCTACTCTGAGAATGCGAACCAGTTGAAAACCGAGCTTCTCGGCTTCAAGGTAGAGAGACAGGCACGATTCGTCGTCCCACATTACACTGGACGAGGGTTTGAATATATGCTGGCCAATGATCTTGGTCATACCCCTATTACGACAGGTTTCGGCCAACAATGATTTGTCTTGGTCGAGGTCTATCGCCAGGTATTCTACCGCTAGTCGCAAGCCGTGTTCCGCAATCTCGAAATAGAGGCTGCGCAGCTGTGCCGGGGAGAGCGTACCATTGTCAATTCCGGATGTCGAAGCGTCGATTGAGAAGATAATCGGGATGCGAGCACTCCTGCGAAGTAAAGAAATCTGCTTGCTCACAGTACTCGCCATCTCTGTATCCCAACGATCCACACACAGCTCAATGGCGTCTCCTCCTGATTCTAGCTCGCACAAATCAACTCCCTCCTGAAGCATTTCAGAGGATCGAATGAGGATAGCATGTGTAAAGGAACGGTTTTCAGGAGGGGTTTCCAGTAGTACGAAGGGGGAGTCGTAACTCGAATGGTTGACATCTGCACCAGTGATAAAACGTACAAATCGAGTGAAGTCCTCTTTGGCTTCTTTGAGCTTGAACGAATACCCAGCTGATCGACGGTCGGGTGTTACTTCGTCGAGTTGAGCTAACATGCTGGAACGGTCCTCAATATTATAGAACTCAAAATTCGAGCACATACGATGCAGGGGGTCTCCTTCACAAAGCAATTTAACAGCTTGATCTTCCAATCCTAGGAGAGTTTGAATGCGGAACATATCACGAACCACATACACCACAGGATTGGTCGCTGAATACAGACGAAGGTACTCCTGCACAGGACGAGTAAGACTCCCCAGACCGCATTCGATTACGCAGCGCGATCGATGTTTGTCGAGCATCATCTTAAGAACCTCGATATCACGCTTCTGGAACTCCTGGCTCCCAAAGCGCTTAAGGTACTCATGTCGCGTGAGCCCAGTAACCTGCTTGAAATAGTGATCCTCGGTGATGAACCGTCTTTTCAACGCCGCTGCCGCAACAAAGCCCAACGAACGCTTTCCACAACCTCGGATCCCAACCAGTACTAAGGAAGCATCAGGATTGAGGTTACGGTGACACTTGTGGCCTAGGGATTGAGACATCGTGCCGACAGATGATGCCTGTTGGGCTTATGTATTTGTTGGTAGACTAAATTAGGAACTCACTGGACGATGAACTGTAAGCGGACGTGTGGCAACCGTAACTATTTTCAACGAACAATCATAGCGGAACCATGATTCGGCTGGGGAGCAGGTTGGCTTAAGATGGTGTGACCTGAATCCACTACACGAGCTGGATAACGAGATAAGGATGTAGTAGATAATCGGGGCGCATGTGCCTTGAGACGATGCAGCAACTCACAGTGAGCATGCTGTGACTGTGAAAGGAGCCCGTTGCACAGGTGCAGTAGTTGGTGGATATAGCAACTCCAAAGATTACTCAGTTAGCACTAAGATCGGTCTAAGTGATCGGGTATATCGATACTGATGCGGCAGAGTGTAGAGGTCTGTCGAATGCCACCGCCTTCCCCCAGAACTCCCGGCAAAGGTCTTAGCCGCATCACTCAGAACTCAGTTTTCGAGCTGAATTGAGTATGTGGCTAAAAGTCCTGAGGTCCAAGGTGCTATTAATCCGATCTCGAGACCTCGAATGGGAACGGCACCATACTCGTAATTTTTCTTTTTCGTTCTCGATAAATAGCTTGAATAATTTGGATTCATTCTTAGGTATATTCTATTTTGAGAACTGCACATCTCGCTCGCGATATTCTTAATTTGGTGGGCTTCCAATGCCTATTATTCAAATCCAGACAGATGATTACCGATTCGGGATGCCGTGGCTGTGTTGAGTTTAAATCCTCCTGCTCTATATCGATCGCTTATTTCGTATAGTACTACTCCGTAGACAACAACCTGAGTTGTGGGGATTTGGAATCTCCACCACTTATACGGAGTACTCCGTATATAGTACCATCCGGACGAGAAAGATCACCGATTATCGGCAGTTGGTGCGGTCCTTCCTGGTGCAGGACAATCGGAACAGTTCCCCGGATAATGTGGCGAAATGTGAGCTTGACTAGGGAACATTCCAAGACTGTCGTTTTCATTATCGGTAGAGAGAAAGAATCAGTAAGGATACCCAACCCATGAGTGAGGTCCTGTTTTTTTTTTTTTCATTTTTTATTTTGTATTTATTGAATCTTTATTTTTATTTTTTATTTTATTTTATTTTTTTTTTTGGTCTTTCTTTTTTTTTTATGTGGGGAAAAGAGT